TGTACTCAGGGCTAAGTAGTTTCATGAAACTCTTGAATGATCATATAAGACGGTGTATCGTCCGGAACAACCGACATGAACACAGGGCTTATGCTGCAGGCAAAAATTTATTAGACCCGCTCTAAAGAAATTTGCAACACGCTGACAGTCGCTGTACCCCTTTAAAAAGATTTTTTGAAACAAGTGGAAAACCTCATTTTTTATTTGTTATCGTTCTCTGAACCATAAACGTGCCTTGTAATTTGACAGTACGGCATGTTTGTTTGTTTGTTTAACATTTATTTATTTTGAGTTCTTACTCTCCGATGAGGCCAAACAAAATGCCAAGCGTTGGGTGTTGATCTGAAACGAAACCGTCGAGGAAATTTTTTGGAACCGAATCGAAATTTTCATTGAGTTAAATTCGTGTTAATACAAACTCCGGATATAATGTCTTCTTATAAAACGAATCTGACTGCTCGGTTTCGACTAAAAGATGGAGAAATCGTGTATATTTCTATAACAGAACTTACCAAATTCATGCACCACGCAATGTTGTATCCAAAATGGCGACAGTATATAAGTGCGCCCTCAACCTCACTGAGTACGATTTACTATTGTTTGTACGATTCTCATTCCCCACACAAAATAATTTACAACATTTTTGTTCAAATTGTAATATACATACTCGTGAAATTAACTACAGCACACACCAGAAACCTGTGTCTCAAGCATTAATATTCACTTATACACTCTATAATGTCACAGCAATTTTCAACTTTTAAAATTGTCTTATTTAAAACATCATCATTAAATCCACACCAGGTGTGAATCAGTTTCATCTCAAAAAATACGTTTGATGTGAACAACTACATAAACATTTTTAAATATCAATTAATTAATGCCTACATTTACTACGTTCACAGCATTTTATCGGAGCCCTACGGCTCGAGCCAGCAAAAATGGCCATGTATAGTACGCATTCGATACATATGTCCCGACCGAGTATATACAATCTCGGTATATACGCATCAGGGCCCTACTATCGGAGCCCAAATTACGCCCCCAATCGTGCATCCAAGCTTGAGCCTGTTACTCCCAGCGCAACAAAATCATTCCCTTCATGTTTATTTATTTATAAATTCAATGGCAGTTGAATCCAACCAACCAATGAACATGCACAGTTTTGCAAACACGTTCAAATGTTATTCAATCGCCAATAGAAACTCCTGTTTCGGTTCGAATCGTGAAATATATAAATATTTATAAAGATGAAGAGAATACCTTTGTGGCGCCGAGAGTAGCAAATTCAAAGTCTTCAAAGTTTACAACTTAGGAAGACCTAGTCACTACGTACAAGTATAATGATAGATGATCTGACACACAGAGCCAGACTAGCAACAATATACACCATAACGAGGGTCGGCAAGGGTATTTTCGTATCAATCAATTGTTTTTATTCTCGTAATAATGTAATTTCAATAAATAAAACACGTGAATTCGTATACATGGGCAAGGTGTAAAATGTAATCAGCTATTTTATTCGTCCGTAATTTGTACAAAGATCTTTTTTTTGTAAGCGTATGAAGCATTTTCCACATTAAATGTAGTTCTTACGCAATTTCTAATTTTGATTCTTAAACACAAATTATCAAATATATTATATTGTAACTTGAATGTAATTAGGAATTTGCTTTATCTGTAAAGTGTAAAAAACTAATTTTTTACTGTAAATGGAACTTTCATTTTATTTCTTGTAAAAACGTAAAATGCTTTTGTTATTTCCTGCAACCTGTACCAGCTATTCCCTTGCACCCCCCATAACCCATAAACTTGAACTTAAAGCGCGGTAGTCGTCGCGCTGCACATGTGCAAACTATATGGGTCTCATATAAACAAAGATGGCGACTTTGACTGTTGCGCAGATCAACGAGTACGAACTGACACGTTTCCAAGCTTTAATTAGATAATTTTCATGTGATCAGAAGGTATAGAAGGAGCCACCGGCGGTAATCAGACCAAGTCGCGCCCAGGTCAAACCTCATACTTGTGATTTCCATTTGAAGAGCGTATTGGATTGTGGGAAATTCAATGTTTATCAACACAAATGTCGAACATGCGCAGCGCAACGACTACCGCGCTTTAACTTCGAACAAATGAGTTACAAGAAGCCAAAACTTCCAGGATGTGTTTCCCCCTGTCAAAATAACAAGGTGAGGTCTAAGTGAATGTCTTTTTGTAATTAAATGTAAAATGCTCACGTCAATTAGAGAAAAGTTATTCAACACAATGACTTTTTCTCGGACATTTCAATATACTTTTTAAAGATATTCCATACCTGTTTCAAATGTTCAATCTGAGACATTCGCTCATTTAAGCTATGTAATGTGTTGATACCCCTACCTCTTACAAGAAGGCCTCGGCAAATGTTTGCCGTTGGTGGCGTGGTTGAAGGTCCAGAATCAGACTATGCTTGGAGAATGATAAGAAGGTTAAGTTTGTAGTAGAGGTTTTTGCTATTGCAATTGCATAGCACATTTCTGAAGTAACATATTCTTTGAATCCCATCAAGTAATATATTCTTAGAAAGCTTATTTTTCAAATAATATGAAATGAATATTCCAACAACAAAAAACTGTATGATAACCGTGCAAATAGAGAAGTTATTTTCGAAGAACCCGAAATACATATTAAAGCGGGTGAGTCGTCACCTGCGCATGCATCGGATGGCCATCTACAAGCATCTACCCATGCGCCTTTGCGTTTTAGCATGTGTTGCTATCGTCACTTGAGACTCAATTCCCGCGCGTGCGCAGGTGACGACCCTCCCGCTTTAACATTCAAAGATAAAACTTCTTTTAGTTAAAAAAACGTAAAAACGTAATTCACGATATCATTAACATTTAAAAAAAACAAACATTTTAACTATTCACCAATTATTTAATGCGTGATTTGCAGGAAATAGAATTCGCAACAACAGCGAATCCTTAAATGCGAGTCCACGTGCACATTTAAGGCATATTGACATTGAACTACAAGTCCAAACACCACCGAATGACAAATGAAAATGACTTAAATTTTAACGTTTGGGAAACATTTCACGTAATTTATAACATAAAGCTAGTCTAAGATGGTTTTCGTTGTTACTATCTAAGTATGTCAACTTTCGAATAATACTAATCATGACGTGTGAAGTTGAGTGTCTCCGCGTTCACTACTTCGATAAATAGCGCCCGCTAGCGACGAGCTGTACTTTAATGTTACATAAATCTTTGGTTTTATGTGTTCACCCCGCGCGCTATATATAGGAAACAAACCGTTATACCCGGAAGTATACGTCAAACTAAATATAACGTGATATGGTATTGAAACGATATAGTGCTTTTATAAATATTAAAAATATCAGATAAACGTGATTTAATCAAGTTTTCCGAATTTACTACTCTTATGACCCACCACACAACAAATTACATCGGTACTAGGATTGTCGAGTTAGTGGTGAAATTGCATTTATAGTGCACATGTTAGGTGCCTCACTTGCGTGCACTGAGCTTTGACAATGTACTTTTGATGAAAATGAACAATGCATGTATTTTTTTTTCCTTCAAATAGTCTTCCGTTATTTAGTAGTTCCCTCGCACTGCGGTACTCACACAAGGTCTCGGCGGCCATTTCCGACTAAGGTCTATAGTGAAAATAAATTTTCTAACTGAATTTCCCGAAATAAAGGCTTATCATCTCATCATTTGCAAGCTCCCCCTCCGCACCACAGACTTCACCCACCGTTCCTAGACTCTTTTTAACTATCATGCATCATAATAATAATAATAACAAAAACACATGGAATGTGTATGATTTTCAAACGAGATTGTATTTGATATATAACATCAAAAAAAAAATATTAAAGTGAAACACATTTAAAATAATGAATAAATTCACAACTACAATTTAAACTGCACCATTGTAAATTATTGCTTAGTCGTTCAATGTTTTCGACATTAAAATTGCTTTAAATATTTTGATTTATGAAAAAATAACAAATCAGGGTTGTAGAAGTAACTAGAAATTAATAAGTCGTGAATAATCGAACAAATGCTTTGAAAAAAAAGAATAAAATCAACTCTATGTGACGATAAATAACTTGAAAGACAGCTCAAATCTGGAATAAACTGCTTTGAAATGTAACCACTTTCAGTAAGGTTCTAACGCTTGGAAAATATATCTCTCGTACCCCTAAGAACCCTTGTCACATAGAGGGCGTGCTAGGGTAATATGTATACTAAACACTAAAACAAAACAAAAACAAAAAAACGATGTGACCATTATAGTCTACTATTCATTATAGTCCACGCGTGATAAAAAACGTGCAATCCAACTGGAAGAGTAAATAATTCAGAGTCCATAAGAACACCCGGAAAAAACTGTTTATAATTTGACATCAAACTGACAAACGTCATATGATCCCAACTGTAAGTGTCTATGAAATAAATTAATATTAGCAAAGTGTGTATATATACGTACTTTGCTAGCGTATTGACAAACATTGGTTTACTATTTATAACGAATACTAACGCACAATCACGGTTCAGGGGTCAAACTTATTCAAGCAAACAACACTAACACAAACTGAAATGAAGAGTAAATACAGAAATGATTTCTTGAGTATAATAATATTATGTAAATATGCATTTTTTTTTAATTTTAGATTTGACAATTTAGAAACTGACTGATTTATCGATAATGTTGTAAAAATAATTACATGCTGCTTGTTATAAATAAACAATGGATTCCATGCATTCTTCGTCGTGCGGGAGTCAGTGTCACGTAATGTTTCTGTCCGAGTACGTCATCATAGCTGAATCTCATGATTTGGTATGCCAATCATAACATAAGAAATAGACATTAGACGCGAATGGCCGCCGACATCTCGTTGCGAGCGGGAGAGCAACCACACTTGCGTGTTTCCCCTTAGAGTAGTGTTTCAATACCCCCGTCATCAAATCCGCTCTTCAAAGTACCATGGTTACATAGATCAGTGGAACAGTTGATGTGATCACGAGAGAGAATGGAACACTATTTAAAGGGGAACCGCTCAATCCCATGGATTGCACCAAAGAATCATGGGACACTATTGTTTATGTTGTTTACAATGTTAATCTATCTTTTGTTATCCATTGTTATTTTAATCCAGAAAGTAAATTTGTTGTAAAATTAATCTTAACTGGAAGGTGCCCCTTTAATGGGCAAAACATAGTCTCGTGGCGCTTTCGCTCGTCGCGAGATATTTGAACATTTTTTGAGCGAGTCTATTTGGTGACGCAATCGAACAAGAATACACCGTGCGACTTTTTTGAAGTCGCGCCCTCTAACAACAAAGAGCTTCTGTGATGTAAAAGATGGCGTAGATAGGTGAGAAATCTCTATAAAACACAGAACGTTTTTTTTACGTGACCGTGTCGTCACCCATTTAGCCCAGACTATTTAGCGCTTCGTCACCAGAGGGCGCAAGACATCATGTATTTATTTCACAGTCTCGGGCTGTGATTTTACTGTATAACATATTACACAGAGTCCCAGGCCATGATTATTTTCTGTTACCATGGAAGGCATATAGGATTTTCTACAAATTATCATTATTTCTTCTGTTAATTTAAGCGTGTCTCATTTAGGATTTGTTTTCTAATGTGACGGATAATGTTAAAATAATATTTCGTAGTCGTGTTGTTACATTCACCATGCTCTATACGTCATAAGCTGTTCAGTAATTCCTATGTGCTCGGGCCCATCTCTCATTTTCTTTGCTTTCCATTATACACTAGAAATAAAAATAACACAAGTATACTTAGCTTATGCTCATCTAAATATTGAACAATTATCTGAAAACATTATGACTTATTTTGTATTTGCTAATTCCAAATATGTCCTGATAGATTCTGTATTATTGCAGAATTACGACACGTTAGCTGTTTTTTTGTAATACATAATACATGTACTGATATATTGAGTTCTGGGCAAACAAGGATCACACTAATACAGTACTCATGTGTGGATTTCATGGGCGTAGTCAGATATTTGGATACAATATTGCTACGTTCACACGACAGGAGCTCTACGGCTCGAGCCAGCAAAATGGCCGTGTATACGCGTTCGGCTCTAGCCAGCTCGAGCAAAGTTCGATAGAATGCTGCCGTGTGAACGTAGCAATAGGTATATATGGACTTACCAATGCACACCATACGAATACCCAGGGCCAGAATATGATACTGATAATACAATGCAGACAATGGTTGACACGTGACGGCGGGCTGAAAGAAATACACATCGTACTCACCAATAAGGATTCGCAGTAAGCGTTTTGAATTGGTAAATTCGTAAATTTTGTCAAGATTTTATCATTGAATTCCTATGGTGGAGATATATCATGTTATGCCTTAAAATGGTGACTGGTGACATCGGGTGAAAAAATATACATTTTTAGTTGACGGGGTACTTTTTGTTATTCTGAATTATTAAAATAAAGTTTCGAAAAGTCCTAAAAATAATATTTCACTTTAAATACTATTTGGCTAACTTTCTCAAAATATGATAATATAACAACAAAAATAATGATATTTCATGTTTCTATTATTAATAGCTCTTATATTATAGCTCCATGATTGTAATAATAAACCAATGGACAATGTCATGCGATTTATAACCAACTTTTTCATAAATAGGTTTTAACATTTTCCTGTGTGGTTCGAATTTGCTTATACATCTGCGCGAGCGTTTTGCAAATTTATCTAACGAATGCCGATTTGTCTGAGTCGGTTTTAGGATGTTACGATGAACAATGATGTTTTTTTTTCCCAAGAAGATTGCATGTCTTCATTACTAACGTGATATTAACTTCATATAACATGAATTACCAAAGATCCCTTTTATTAAAACTCGGAGTCACTTCTCCCCAGTGAGCCCAACGCACCGTTGAATCGCATGCGCGTACTACATGTGCATGTAGTACAATTATTTTCCCTATATTCCCCCCAGTCGTCCCAAAACGCTGCCTCCCCGCTCCTTTAGTACGACCCGCACTTACGGTTCATCCTTGATTATGTATGTGGTAGTCCCGGTCACTCGTGGCTGACTTACAACATTCACCTGTTGACCTGTCGCTCCGTAGTACATTGCGGTGTTCAGGCCGTAACCAGGCTGCCCCGGTGCCGGGCCCACGGGCTGCTCCCATCCTCCAGGCGGTTGATACGGCTGTGTAAATAAACATGGTGTGAAGTAGGTAATCCATAAGTATACACATTTCTAACGTGTTGACAGATTTTGCTCAGGGCATATTTATCCAGATGGGATATTTGTCCAGAAAACGATAGAAACCTGACAAAAACTTCCCCTTTCTAAGATTGAACGCACAATATTTGTCCGGTAACTCTAACAGCGACCTTTGACATTATTAAATGTTGTTCATCAGAATCATGAACAAGTTTGTTTAAATTTGCATCTTGGGTATGGTTCATCGTAGTCAGATTATAATAGTGATTCAATTTTATTTTCGACACAACAAAAATTAGTTCCGAATGTGCCAGTCCAACAGCAGCTAGAACAATGTGCCAAAACACCGGGCCTTGTTATTCGTCCGATCAAAGACCACATCCTAATAGACTACCCCTTGGCACGCAACGGCATCTCCCAGTTACAATCTGATTAAAATCTGATGTATTGTAAAGGCTTTAATTATTTTGGCTATAAACTTATTTTAATTTTATTTTGTATTACTTTTGTTATTAATACCTTTTTATTTTATTATTTTACTTTGATTTTGATTTTGTGATTTTTTTTTAATTAAAAAAATAATTAAAGCCCGTACACTACATCAGATTTTAATCAGTGTATGCAAATTTTCCCAACTTTGATTCACTATGCGATAAACAAATATTTCCAGCCTATAAATGAAATGTTACATATTATTTACCGGTGGGGGCTCCGTTGGATATTCGCCGGGTTTCCCTTCATGTTCAACGCCTGGTTGAAACCCTGCCGGTGGTGGCGCCTGTTGCCCAGTTTGGTCTTGCGCTCCTGTTGCATTTGTTGTCGTTGGTTGATTTGGGTCTACTGGGTACGGTGTAACCTGGGTGTTTGTTTGCATTTGGTCTGATGGATACGGGGTCGTTGTATTATTTTCTGCCATGCCTACTATAACAAGTGTACCCCGGGGGGTCTGTTTTGTGGAAAAAAATAAAACATGATATGAAGACGATGATCTGCAACAAGAGCACTTGTTATACGAAACGGAGCAGCCATTGCTCTCAAATGCCTGTGCATTAAGATTACTATGATTGTACAGAGACTGCCATTGACGAGGGCGCCCGTTTGGTGGGAGTTACCGTTCTTTTGAAGAAAAAAAACACATTAACATATTAAGGTGAACACATTTAATGACTCGAGACTTCAAACTTTGGTATCCTAATATTTTAGCGTTAAAAAAATGAAGGGCGTTGGTCGTCGCGCTGCGCATGTGCGACATTTGCGTTGATAATCATTGATTTTCCCATAATCCAATGCGCTTTTCTGATGAAATCACGAGTACGAGTTTTGCCCTGGGCGCCACTCTTACTAATTCCTGCCGGCGACTCCTTCGATACCAACCAATCACCAAAACAAAATACCTAATTGAAGCTTGGTAACCTCTCAGTATGTACTCGTTGGTCTGCGCAACAGTCAAAATCGCCATCTTTGTTTATATGAGACCCATATCTCACGCATGCGCGGCGCGACGACTACCGTCCTTTAATTGTATGCCAACCCGGGCAGAGACAATTGTATGGATTACATTGACTACATATTAAATATTCTTGGATTCCAAATCAAGTAAATCTGGGGGGTGCAAATATTTAAAGTTGGTTTACATATATGCCTGTAGACAATTGTTTATTAACTGGAAGATGGTAGGGACCATGTTTCGCATTATGGGCGACGGTTCATTTTTTTCATTTTTAATCGCTTTACCGGTAATAATTTTTTTTCAGTCTTCAAGCCCACTTCAGTTTTCAAACTGAAAATTGCAAATTATCCATTTTACAAGCGGATTGAAATTGTCAAAGTATTGACATTTTTGCTAATGTCAATAATGGTTAATGCTTATTTTGACTGATCTAACATCTAATCCAACTTTCTTGTAAAACGCGCCCTCAAGCGACGAACCATTTACATGACGTCAAATGACGTTGATGGTGAATAAGCAATCTCGATCAATGTGGCAATGTGATTACGTAATTTGTTTTTTTTACTGACGGACGATCACGCGTCAGGACAATATGGACGCCGTGAACGGCCGGTCCTCTTTTTATCATTTTACGTCACAGAAACTCTTTGCTGCTAGAGGGCGCTACTCATAAGAGAGTTGTACTGGTACAATGTACTGGCATGTCATTTATCAGACGACGTGATTACAACGAACTCTACTTTGTGTCTAGTTGTGTCACGCTAAATAACAGTTACCATTGTGACCGATATAATTAGTGCGACGTGGGAGGCCATAACCAATACTGTACGTTGGTGTTGATAAATACAATAGGGGTCAACCATATGAAATCACGGTCACGTGGTGGTAGAAGAGTGTTACCAATGTAGCACACCTACGACCCCTATTGTGAATATGAATCCGTCTAAATTATTACATATATATATATTATGACCATGCTGACAGTTTTATAATTATGGGACAGTCACATACAGTACAGACTGTCTCACTCTGAAGTTCGTGAAGAGCGTGTTAGGGTCTCCTAAATTTAGACTACTACTGAACCTTAAACAGGATAAGTAAATCAATAACAATGACCACACAAAACGCGGTGGAACACGTGATAAACTAGAAATATCTGTGATTACGTATCTTGAGATACTAAAACATGTGTCATTTATTTAAAATGTGTGGGAAGGACAACGAAACGTCCGACGAGATTATTAATCGGTTTGATGTTCTGTTTAAAAGAAATTGGTCGAGTACATCGCAACGAAGTTCTCGAGGCAAGATTATCAATTGTTACTCTGAAAGTTAAAAAAAAAATAATTAAATCTTGATTATGTTAGTAGATTTAAAGACCGTATACATGAATGGAGAGTACTCGTGATGAATCACCACAATACACTGCACCTTTCCCAATAAGTACGCGCCCTCCAGTGACGAAACGCTTCCGTGACGTTAAAATGACGTAACGGGTGTATCTAATATCATTCAAATAGACAACTATGACAGGCTTGTCATTTAGAATGTAGGGAATCTCTCAAACATCCTATTTTTTATGTAATTATTCATAAATCAAAACAATAGTGACGCTATGGACTGAGTCCCAGAACCGGATTTGAGTCATAGAACAGCTTCGTCACCGGGGCGCAACTTATAATATAGGAATGGACTTTAAAAATAACCTGGTTAGAAGACCACAATTGAAGTCAAGGTTCGTGATGACTCATCAAAATTGAAATGCGACTATATTTCAAAACATGTTTGTTTGTTTGTTTCGATTTTTTTTTCTATTTGGTCAGTGGCATTGAAGCATACGAGGTACGTGATACGTAAATAACAACCAGCATCCCATAAAGTCAGGGCACTTTAAAGGTCACAAGGTTCGATTAAAACATGGCATGGTGTGTGAATGGTACGAGTCATAAAATTATAGCGAAGGAGAAACGGGTTGGGAAAAAACGGAAATAAGTGAAATTAGTCATAGGGACTGGTACCATAATCCATTCCAATATTGCCAAAAATATATGTAATCAATTTTTGATTTAAAACCGGAACGTCTTTCGTGTTATTTATTTACCATGTCTTAAGTTAAAAATGGCCGCTGGAGAACAGCGCTTTATGGATAACTGGAAGTCATCATAGCTGACTTGTGGGATTCACTATCACGTGGTATTTTATCCGGCTACACTACAAAATTCGATGTCTCGTTCGCAGCCAGTCGCACAGTCATCACTGAATTCGTACTCTAAATATATAACTATCACATCTGAATAGCAGGTGAATATTTAAAACACCACGAAATCATGAGGGAAAACACGCATTTATGGGCACGGGACAGTGATCGTGCCTACCATAAGCCAACTTCCGGCTAACTTGCCTACACATTTGTGATGTAAACGAACATAATATCAAGCGCACAGAAAAGAAAACTAAAATCTGATATTGATACAATCTGTAAAACACACAGATTTTAAGGTAAGTCAGATCCGGGAGCATTTTCCAATATTTTACACATAACATGCTGTAAATATGCTGAAGTGGTAATTTACATAGTAGGAGTAAAATACTACTATACGAGCCTGAGTCATTTGCTGTTTACTGTAATTTGATTATTTGTTCAAAACAAACCACACTTTTTTACGCATTTGGTAAAATAAACGATATCAAGTAAACTATTTAGTTTGCTTTATTAAAAGAGCAAAATAAGAAACTAACGTTCGAAATAATAAAATAATTTTCACGGCAGTGTTTGTTTTGCATGATTAATATCGCCGTGATAGTACAGGGTTATATTTATAACAGTCATGTGAGACCAGAACCTGACGTGACCGACAAACTTCTGCACAGTGAAATGAATTATAAAAGTTTGATATTTAGGTTTAAATTCAGTTACTGCTCCCCCGAAACGTGAACAAAATTGGAAGTTCGACGATATTTATACGACAGGTCGCTGTCTAATTATTAGCTCGACACATTGTGTATGATATGGCCGTGTTGTCGTCGTGACACTTAGTGTACCAAAGGTCAATTGTCTTGTTGCATCTTCCAATGATGCATGCATATAGGATTTATACTGGTAGAATAAATGCTATTTAAGGAGAAGGAATTACGTAAAGTAAAAACCTAACATTTACTCAGGAATAAGTTGAATAATCTTATATAATATCTATGTAGGGTGTTATTAAACAGTTTACCCCTGCACTGAAATTATACATTGTAATTATGTGTGACATTCATGTAATTTTCTTTTTCAAAAAGTATTATTTTTTTAATTTTGAGAAAGGGGAAATCGGAATCAGAAATGGAGAAGGCGATTTCGCCAAAGATAAAAAATATTCTAAATTACCTTGCCAATGTCGAGTTACACCACCACACCAATCAGGGAGTTATTACGGTACGCGTCGGCAATTAAAGTTCAGCTATGCCCCTCTCTTCTGTCGTGTTCTCTGATATGTTACTCTTTTCAGAAAGAATTAAAAATGTCCATCAAAATGGCGACGTCGCCGCCGTTGTCAGTGCCTATCCTATATGTGTTTTAGACAAATATAATCTAAAATTTGAGTTAAATTGTCACTTATTTATGACGTCATGGTATTGGTTTCCTCAGAAGGTCAAAGGTCGAGTTTACCATTTTGCCTTTTGACGAATACAGTGGAATTTACCTTGCATGTCCCCTCGTTCGCAGAAAGGTTAAATGAATCAACGTCCTCGTTGCGATATTCGTTATTAGAGTCTAAATATATACGTAATGCCAGAAAGTGAAATATGCGGGTGTCGATCGCGACGAAATCATTGCAGAACAATCCCATATGTTCCGTTGTACATGCTTTCAGCGCTAACTGAGTCCAATTTCAGTTGTCACGGGTTCGTCAAAAATATTTATTGAAAACAATCGTATTCATTAAAAAATAGTATTTGTCTAATACGCTAAATATTGTTACCCGTATAATTAATAGTTTGTGATGAAACCACGAAAAACACGCAGGCGCGTGTATTTATCGTAAACACTTATTGTAACGTCTATATTTTGTGTGGCGACTGTGGAGGGCCCTGGGTCTATCTATAATGCAATAAATAAATAAATAAATAAATAAATAAATAAATAAATAAATAAATAAATAAATAAATAAATAAATAAATAAATAAATAAATAAATAAATAAATAAATAAATAAATAAATAAATAAATAAATAAATAAATAAATAAATAAATAAATAAATAAATAAATAAATAAATAAATAAATAAATAAATAAATAAATAAATAAAATAATAAATAACAGAAATGAATAAATAACAGGAATGAATAAATAAATAGTAAAATGATAATGATAAAAATACGGCTTCTGGGCCGGTTAACCACACGTCGAATAACAAACAAATAAAAAGATACTGTAAAATAATATATTTTAGCTGGAATTAATTTCCGCTACAAAGATGTTTTGGGTGTTTTGTATAGAATTTATTTTCACTGATTTTTGATGAGTTGAATGTAAAAATAGGAAATCAGGTGTATTCGCCGGATTATATTTTCACTGAATCATTCCTTCAGCGAAAATAGCGAAAATTAATTCCAAGCGAAAATAAAATACTTCACAGTATGTTAATTGAGGGCGCTATGCAACCCATATCGGCGAACTATCGCCCAAAGGACGGGCGTTCCCAGGCGCGCGTTCAGAAAATGTATCAACAGGTGGTATGTACATTACTTTGAACAGACGAACCTCACACGCTGACATTCTCACATCTTAAATTTAAATCTCTTATACGTTTCTGACCGAATAATGGAGCTTCATAAATGTTATTTGATGTACGCATGTTTGTTGGGAGTGATGCGAGGAAGAAGCGAAGCTACGGTTTCAACAATCACTGGCACGGTCACTGGTACACTTGAACA